CTTAATCAATAAACACAGCATCTTGCCTTATCCTCCCTCAAAAGGTCTCACTTGTGATTTGAGCAATTGGCAATTGTAAGTGGCCTAGACCAGAAGCCAGGGGGCACTAGAGCACATCTTCCTGTTCGATTAGAGCAGACAGCCAGGGCCAAGACTAAGCTGACCACTCTGCAAGGGAGGTGCGGGGATTTGCAGGGAGATGCAAAGCATCCTGGGATACTGGGGGACTATGAGTTAGTTTGAACCTGGAAGGGATCTGGGACATAGTTCAATAAACCAATTTAACCTAACTCAGTTAAGTCTGATACTAAATCCATCCAAATTTATCTTAAACAGGTTACGGCCATTTTGAAAGTGGTTTATGTGCAGTGAACTTCTGTGAATAGAACATACATTCATCCTTTGGTGAGGAGGGACAAATCTTAGAGTAGGTTCTACCATTTTAAGCCAGTTTGCACACGCCAAACTTCTGTTATGGGTATAGATTGATTTTGTACGCCAAACTTCTGTTCTGCTATGGGTACAGACCAGCGTTTCCCAACCTTTTTCATCCCACTGCACGCTGATCAAGCACAGAGCGGAGTAGGGGGGGCGCATGGCAAAACACAGAGTAGTGGTGGTAGCACTGGCTGGAGCCATGCCCCACCGGGAGCCATGCCCCCCCAAGATCCCACAGCACACCTGGTAAAGTCTGATGACACACCAGTGTGCCACTGCACACCGGTTGGAAAACACCAGTATAGACCAGTTTCCAATCACTTATACCTAATGTCTACACCTGGAACCTGTTGTGTTACAGATCCCAACCAGTTTCTCATCATTTATACCAGTTTATGTGTAACTTCTGTCCCTAGCTCTGCTGAGTATCCAAGTGAGAAATCTGAAGCTTCTAATTAGTTTCAGTGTTCATGGCCTCATCAACTCACTATTATCACAATTACCAGTTGTGACTGGTACAGCCTAACACTGCACTAATTATATGGTCGGTCAGTTATCAATTCAAAATCAAGAGTTACTGGTCACTAGCCAAATATCCTGCAAATAGCTATCAGTAGTTGTGCTAGATCCATCGGGTACTAAAATGTTTCCAACAAGGCAATATAACCACCCAAAGTTAGCCTGGCAATGTGCAGCAGAAATTTTACTCGGCTGTCCGCTAGGTCTTGAGGTATGATGCACTGCATGATGCACTGCATTTGCATATTGATGGCATTTCTCACATTTCATTCCTAGCTGAATTATCACCAGGGATCCTAGTTTTTTTCTGTTTAAAAATCCAAAAATCTCCTTTTAAGCCCCCCAAAGTTTGATTTAAAACCTGAATATCCACATTTTTCTGCAATTAAAATTAAATACTAATATATTCAAGTGATAGATAGATTATTTATATCTATCTATATAAAAATAATCACTTGAGTACAATATTTTATTGATATATTTTATCAATTATCAATTTTAAAGCAATTTGGAAGCTTAACAGTGCTTCAATCATTATAACAAAATAAATTCTATACACCTATATTTTGTTTGTTTGTTTTAATGAAGGAAAAAAATCAGAGTTCTCCCTACCCCCTTCACTCACCAGGACATGGGTCCAGCTGCAGCTGTCACACTGCTGCTTTGTGGTGTTAAACAGTCTTGATATGCTGGTGCCCCTTACTCCCAAGCAACAGTGCCCCCCAGCCCTGCCAGTTCCCCTCACTCCCAACTCACTGCCACCTGCCCCACCCCCGGGGCCAGCCTCAGTGTGCGGGGCAGGGGTCTGTGAGGCAGTGTCCCCAACCATAAGTGACACCCTGAGGGCCAAGTTCTACCCACTGGGCTGCAGAGGAGGCTCCTGCCCCTGTCAGTCCAGCCAGACCACAGCCCCATACCCTGCCATGGGTACACCAATCCTTGAGGGGGGGGGGGGGGGGGGGGGGGGGGGCCAAAGTTGGCCCCTCCCCTATGCATCACCTATACCCTCCTGCTGGTTCTCCCATGCCTTGGCTATGCAGCCCCTCATGAGGATGGCTTGTCACATTTAGCTTTAGTTGCATGTGCTTGAGTGGCGAATTATAGTATTATTTGAACTTTTCTTTTATATGCAGCCTTATTTAACCACTGCTTAAGTTTCTGTATAGTCTCATTATTATTTGAACTTTTCATTTTGCTTGTGTCTGTACTATCAGGTAGTCTTGAGGTCACTTTCACAGGCAGCTTATGGTCCAGCATTATCAATATATGTGTGTGAAATGTAGGCCTTGTTATTAGCTCAAATTAACTGAGCGTGGCACTAACCAACTAAAACAGAGGGATGACATGATTGGATATGTTAATGAAAGGTGGTAAGAGGGGAACAACTGGACTGTGCCCTATTGCAGAGCTTTTGGAATTTCTGATTGTGATGGACAGACCAAATTAGGAGTCCAGGACATGACCAAATTAAGATGTGTGCATGTGATGGGTTTGTTAGAACCAAGGAACATGCTGACAGGATAAGAACATGAACAGTATGATGATCACAGGGAAACCAATCAACAGTACCTGGAAATAAAGAGTCACCAGAAGAAAAAACATAAAAGCGGGACAACAAGGAAGTTGAGTGTGTCATTGTCCAACAACACCTGGACTGAAAAACAGCCATTACCCACAGATTACCGCCCTCTACTTTCAGGAACTGGACAACTATTCTGTAAGTAGAGTAATACCTGGGATTGATGAGTGGTTGAACATTGAACTAAATGGTTTTTTCTCTCTCTCTCTATGTAGAAATTATTAATACAGTTAATACACTAATAGAATTAAATTTTATTTAAGTTGAATTGTGAGGTGCATTCTGCATTAGGCTCTGGGTTGATTATGCTTTGGCGATTCTTTAGCACCATGAGGACGTAACAGTTTGGTGGAGCGTGCAGGCAATGCAAAGCATGATTTATTTACCTGCACGTTTAACACAACAGTTGGGAATGCGTATAATACTCAGTCTCATACAGAGACCCAGGATTTTTGCCTACCTGTAGTTAAAGGGTCACAACCTTTTGCAGGACAGACCTCTAGGTAAGAGGAAGAGAGCTTCATTTTGGAAAAAAGACTTACCTTTTTGCACAATGACAGCACCCAATATAAAAAAAAAAACACCACCCAATTTTTTAATTTAAAAAGTAACCCAAAATCCACATTTTTCCATGATCAAAATGAAACACCACTATATAGATATCTATATATTAGTGGTGTTTCATTTCAATCATGGAAAACGTGGATTTTGGGTTACTGTTTTTAATTTTTTAAAAAATCTGGGTTTTTTGTTGTTGTTGTTTGTTTTTTTTAAATCAGAGAAAACCTGGGTCTCTGGTAAGCAGTAAGGGCCTTGGGTCCATAGAAGTCTAGGGCTCTTTGGATGGAAGCTGAAGAAGGGGCTAGAGAAGTAGCCATTCAGTCTCAAAAGGAGGCACAGGATATGAGAGACTGGGCTAGAGCTGAAAAACCCAGTCAGATGATTGCAGAACCTTTGCAGACAGCTGTTATACAAAAGGCAACAGCAGAGGAAAGGAATGATTTAAGGAATGAACATAGGAAGTTAGAGAGCAGAGATTGACAGCTCATTCGGATACAAGAGCTGGCAAGAAGGGCAGAGCTGGATCAATAGACTCACCTGCAGGAAGCTGCTCTCTACCACACTGCCTGACTGCCACATACACGTGTGTGTGTCAACCTGTGGTTTCCCACATTTTTCTCCTTTAAGGAGAAAATCTCCTTTTTCTCCTTTAAAGGAGAAAAACAAGTGATTTTCTCAAGAAAATCCGCTTTTTTCTGTAGCAAATGAAGAACCCAGATCCCTGATGATGATCACAGACATTATTGCAGAATACCATTTAACATCCAGGTTTTTATTCATGCAATGACTGCAGTACAATTCCAGGTAGAACTGCTTAGAGCAGTAGATCCTTACTCTGCATTTTACCAATGATGACAGGCCTAAGTTTATCTAAAAGCAGTGCTGAGCATTTGCATAGCATGACATCTGCTTTGATGTCATCAATCAGTATGGCAACATCTACAAAACCAAACCTAATCATCTACATTGTAATGCCATACAAGGAGTACTACTTAATCCACTGCTGTACCTACTCTCAGCTATTTTTGATCAGATGAACATCTTCACTTTCACTCCTGATGAAATTGACCAGTATTGGAATGTGACTAGTTTCCAAAGCCAAAATCTGTACCAAAAATTCTACTTTTTTACATAGGACTACATTCACAAACACCATCTTCTTTGTTCTACCCTTTCATGAATCACAATTACAAAGCACCTTCTATATCAGTGTTCTGCTACGCACTGCCTCTTAGAAGCATTGGCACTGTTGTACTCCATCTACTTCTGATTCTTGGCAGGCAATACTGCCTACGGTGATAACCTATAGCATGACACATAATCAAATTTAATCCTAAATATGCTGGCTAATTCTTGTGTTTTCAGAGAAGTGTTGGCTTGACAAATATAGATCTCTCTTTATTTACTCTTCAAGCAAGTAATTTTCATTTCACAGATGTCTTATGAGACTTACTATTATAACTACATATAGCGTTTCGGTTTTACAACTACATAAGTGCCAATGCAGTTCTGTCAACCTGACCATCAGACCACATGGATTTAGGGGTGATGAGTGGAGGCCCTGACAGGTGATGTGTGTATGCACCTGGTGTATGGCAACAGAACTATACAATTACAGGCTGCTACTGTTATCAGCAACCCACACCTTGATATATATGCTACTCATACAGTAAATTAATTATCAACTACACACAATCTAGTGAATTTAATGGGAGAAAATTACATGTTCAGATACTCTATTATACGTTTATCTACCCTGGCAAGGACAAACACTTTGTCCCAGGGCTTTTAAAAGATAATTAACCCACCAGGAAATCTACTTCGAGGCAGCTCTAGGCAGGCGGTGTGTTGCTCCATGAAATTCTAAAGAAAACTCTGTAGAAAAAATTTACTTTAATCTTACCTTTGAATCATATGCAGACTGTTTTATTACTTCAGGTGCCATCCAGAATGGTGTTCCCACAAAGGTATTTCTCTTTATTTGTGTATCTGTTAGTTGTCCTGCTACTCCAAAATCTGCTAATTTTACCTCTCCTTGTTCAGACAGCAATACATTGGCAGCTAATAAAGGAAAAAATATGGGTTAAACGTTTCAAAGCTTTTCTTTGACTCTACTGTTGGAACATTTCATCAAAACTGTCTTTTTTTCTTCTTTTTTTTTAAACTGACAAAATGCAATACTTACCTTTAATATCTCTATGGATTTTCTTTTCTGAATGCAAGTAATCAAGTCCTTTAAGTATCTCTCTTAAAATTGTGGCAATCTGGGTTTCATCAAGAGAACCAGGTTCTAACTAGGAAAAACATAAAAATAATTGTAACTTGCAAGTTTTAACGATGTTATAGAAGTAGAGGAAGAAATGAAAATGCCATGATATGTGCTTATCAGTAAGTTAATATGTTTAATTGATTTTGGTGTCAATTACTGTTTTACACATGAAGTGTGATCTATTTTTCTCTGTCTCCTATTCCTTAACATACATTATCTACATTTTGGATCTGCTTTTACCACTCTTTATATGGGGTGACAGGCAAATAGCCACATGGAAACAGAAGTGTGCTTACTAGCTGATGACAATGTAACCCAATACCATGAACAAATTTAGCCCGAAGACCTCTTCTTTGTATCTGAATCATTACGTTTTGAGAGAAAAACAATGCTCCCAAGTTAGGATAGAATAGTGTCCCCATGATTCTCCCAACCCCACATCAGATTGCCTTTTGAACGTTAGAAACTGAGCTCTTGCTCTAGCAGGGCTCTGCTTAAATACTCTATGCATGATATGACAAAGTAATCACTTTATTTAGCTAACATTGGAGAAGGCACATTTTAGAGATATATGGCAGCACAAAGCAAGAGCAAACAGATGTCCATACTTTTGTTGTGCCGCAATGAAGCCATGACAAAAAAGTGGTAACAAATTGTGCTGCTTTATTGCAACACAGAAGCAGAACACTGTCAGCCCAGAGCTACCCACACTCTTCTGCTATCCCAGGCAGGCACTCCCTGGTTAGAGGGGCCCAGTCCTACATGCCTCAAATTCCTACCCAGGACTGGGTCCCTCAAACTCAGGGAACATCTACCCAGCTTTCCCGGTTTCCAGACATTTGTCATGGAGACTGTTGGGGCACATTTCTGCAAGCAAGGAATCCCAACTTTCTCTGCTTCTGAAGACATACCCCAGACATCCCAGGCACATCTCTGGAAGCAGGGAAAGCCAGGGCACTCCACTGTGAATTGGTGGCCCCAGCACTGGGCCTGTGTACCACACTGGAGCGTCCAGCTTTTCCTACTTTCAGACATGCCCCAGGGATTTTCCAGGCGCTTCTCTGAAAGCAGGGAAAGTCAGTTTTTCTTGCTTGAAGTTACGCCCCCAGCAATCTAAGAACCCCAAAGATTGTCAAGAGCTTGTCTCTGGAAGTGAGGAAAACACTGTCCCACCCGATAAACAGGAGGACAATGGGCAACACATGTTTCAACCAATTAAGTGGATCAGCTGCACTGGGACATATCCCATCAGAGCTGATCTGGCTTTATTGGGCAAGGGCTATTTCTAGCCAAACTGGCAAGCAATGATGAATAAATGGGAAGAGTACTGAACAAAAAGTATGGGAACAATCAAAAGATTTTTACTGCCCTTCTTATATGCTTTCACTGGTTCACAGACATTAACACAACAGCAGTAACATCTTCAAGTTTAAATGTAAACTCAAAACAGGGCACACTTCTAGAAAGCCAACATTATTTGCCCACAAACAACAAATTTAAACTAGTAAATTATTTTATCTGTGCTTTGCTAAAACAAAATATTTTTGTGGGGGAAAAAAATTCCCAACTAACTCTAATTTCTTGATTATGTAGCAGTAAATATTAAGTAATCTTGTAGTTTTAAAAAGAGTTTCTCTTTCCTAACTGAATTTTAATCCTCATGTGAAGTCTCAAATGGACAACCTTTGAGAGAGACATCCTTTACAGGGAAAATTAATCTTCACTAATGAGTGAGATGTAACCTTTCAAAATAATATTAATATGTACTTTGTGAACTGTAGTTAAGTTTTAATTCTTTGCCATTTCAAAAAGAGTACTGCTAAGTGTACTTTAATATACCTTGTATAATTCAATTTTAGTAATATGAGATCTCACTATAGACTAAGATATTAAAAATGTATGCTAGATGATGGCTTGTTTTCTTTATGAATTAGAAAGCAAGTTGAAAGACTGTACTGCCTTTACTAACAATAAATGTATGCCTTAAATAGGAAGACATTTTCAACACCATCAGTATGTCTCTAACAGATGAGCCCCCCACCACCAAGAAGATGAAATTATGTTTCTACATCGACTCAAACCTCAGTGAGGATACAAACAAGGGGGACAATCTAATTTATTTTAATCATGTAGTTAGGCATAATTATATGCCTACCACAAAGTGAGCAAATAGTAACACATTTTAGTCACCAATATTCTCTGATTAGTCAATATTTTGAAATAAAAATGTTTTCATATCTCTTTTCAAACATCCCATGTTACCTAACCTCCTTGCATGTGAATTAGAGGTGCATCAATAAAGATTTCCTTAACCAATGCCGATAGCCAATTATTTAACTTGGCATATCAGTCATTACCGATCCAAAAACCAATTTACAGGAAGGTAGCTGGGCAGCATGGAGAGCATCTCCCTGCAGGTACTGTATTTCACAGTGTATAGGTCAACACAGTGTACAAATCAACCCCATTTTTCTGATCCAAAAAGTTAGGAATTTTGTAGATCCGATGTACAAGTCAACCTAACTTTTTGGATCAGAACTTATACCAGCCTCTGCATACCCTCTCTGTGGGCCACGCACCCAGGGGGTGGGCACATGCCACAGCACCGCTCACAAAGAACGGGGACGGGCTCAGTGCTCGGCTGGTGTGGCCCTGTCCCCTGCGAGCAGTGCTGCCTGGGCTGTGCCAGCCAAGCATGAAGCTCAGCGTCACTCACAGGGGATGGGGCTGCACCAGCTGAGCATCAAACCTAGCTCTGTCTGCTGTGAGTGGTGCTGCCAAGTGCCAAGGCCAGCCCCATCCCTTGCAAGCGGTGCTGGGCTCAGTGCTCGGCTGGCACAGCTAGGCTTGGCACTTGGCAGCACTGCTCACAGTGGACAGGGCCAGGCTAGGCGCTCAGCTGGCATGCCCCCATCCCCTGTGAGCGGCGCTGCCTGGACTGCACCAGCCAATTACCAAACCTGGCACCACTCACAGGGGACAGTGATATGCTGTTTAAGCCAAGGCTGAATTTTAAGAGTTAAAAACTGGGTTTCAAAACTTGACTTATACACCATGAAATATGGTATGTCTGTGGAGGAGAAGGGGCTTGGAGAAGGGCAGGCCATAGTGACGGAGGGAATGGGGTAGGGGCTGGAGGCGCTGCCCAGCCAGGTTGGTGAATGGGACCCAGGTGAGGAGTGGGACAAGGCTGCAGGAATCTTATCCAGGGGATCAGCATTGTGGCGGTTAAAAATGGCAGCGGGGTGCCTGAACTAAAGATCAGCGAATGAGCTTTAGTTCAAGCACTACCACCACCATTTTTAAGCGCAGGGATGCTTTTAACCAGAGCTGAGCAGGGCAAAAGTGGATGTGGGCTGTGGGCTCCAGGCTCTCCGCCTTGCTGCCTTTGCCCCAGGAGTCCTCCACTGGCTGCATGTCCCCTGCCCACCCAGTAGTGGGAGGTACAACTCACTGCCCTCACTGCTGCCATGTGGGCAGGGAGCACATGGTCAGTGCAAGGCACCCAAGTGAAAGGCAGCAGAGCAGAGAGCCCAGAGCTTACAGTGGGCAGCCCACATCTGCCCTGTGCACAAATCTGGGGGGTACATGCACCCCATGCCTCCCTTGGGGGTTGTATGCAGCTGGGGGAGCCACCCCCCCTACACACCCCACCCCCCAGACAAGCTGCCCACAGCTCTGTCCTGCTCCCCACCCCAACCCCCATTCATTGCCCTTGCTGGGCAGTACATCCAGCCCCAGCCCCTCCCTCACCCTGGGGGCCCCGATCTGCCCCACCCTCCACCCCTTCCCCTCAAGGTGCTGCTATCCACACTGTTGGCTGCATTCCTGGCCATATGCATGCGTGCAGCTGCATGCATGCACACAGCATCCAGGGGCCCTGCCAGAAGGCATATTATATTTATCAGTTAACATTATCAGCTACACCGGCCAAGAAAAAAGCCGACAGACAATAATGTTAATTTCCCTCTTATCGGTACCAATCCAATATCATATCTCGATATCGGTGAACCTCTAATGTGAATGTTAATTCCTGACATCACTTCTTGGAAATTCATACATGCATGTACACTTCCCCCCACACCTTATTGAGAATTTTTTTGCATAAAAATAATTTTGGGCGTTTGTTTGTTTCTCAAGGCATATGGCCATGCTGCTTTTTCATGTAAACTGAAAATACTGTATTTCTGAGATGACAACTGTTAAATCAGCTCCAACTGCATTAACAAATTCCTACATAGTTTACTTACTAGATCAAGAGCAGAGCCGCCACCAAGATATTCCATTATTATCCATAACTTTGTATCCTGAAAAAATAAGTAATAAATGCTTAGAACATGGAGTCTCAACTAGGATGCCACAGGATCCTGGGATACCACATGATCCAGGATGATGCAGTCTCACAGGTAAGTGACTGCTCCTCTTCTCTCTCTGCAATGTCCACCCCAGAGTCCCACAGACAAGCAGCATCTGCGACTGTGCCCTACCCCTGGCAGCTCCCACAACGACCCCCATGCGCTTAATAGGGTGTTTTGCTGCAGATAGGTGTGCAGATAGGGTGTGGGAGCAGATAGGTGGCCATGGGGTGACAGGACTGCACTTTTCAAGAAGTATTAATAGCATAAGTTTCTTTGCGTACTTGCTTCATTCAACTAAACCTTAACTATAAACAGAGATAGGCAAAAATCAAGGCAAGGTGGCACCCTAAAGACTAATCTGTTAATAAGTTAATCTTTCAGGTGCCACCATCTCCTGCTTTCTGCCTGACTTCAGGCTAACATGGCTAATTATCTCTCTAAAAAAGAAATAATGACAGAAAATGTATAAAAAAATAAAATATTGGTGTTGTTTGGTTTTTTTTCTGTGTCCCCTGCTTACTTTTCGATGGATATCCATTCCTCTACCCCCATATTGATAGTTATTAATTTGCAAGATGGTATATAATTTTCACTAAAGTATGTTTCCTCAAGAAGAAAAGATGCACACTTACTCCTCATTTATTTGAAAAGGACTACATAAGCTAGCTTCATTCCATTTTATTAACAGTTTCCTATTTTATGTACATATTTCTATGAAAAGTCTTGTCCATCTCCTCTAGGAAGACAAAACTGCCATACCTGGAGGAAGAGCACTTCCCCACCACACCAGGGAGGGGCAGCAGATCACATGAGGTAGTACAGAGAGCTCAGACTTAAAAAATATTACCCAGATATACAACTTAGGAAAAGGCAGCGATTTCTCTGCAATCCCTGTACAAAGGGAGCCCTTGCAAATTAATTACAAATTGTATATAAATTTTACCATCTATCAAACACACCAACAGAAGCAATAATCTACAGTAGAGCCTGACACGAGCTATACCAAAATAATAAATCCACTGCATATCCTCTATGCATTTACTACAAAATATAAGTTTTAACACCATTATTTATCAGGTTTTAACAGAGTAATGAGGCCTTCAATTCTGTAAATATTTGGCTTATTTGGTTATTTTTTTTAGGACAATTTGCAAACCATCACAGCTACAACACCACTGCAACCAAATTCTGTGCACCAATCAATCCACAAATACCATAGTAAAATTGGAAACCTACATATATCAAATGGGGTGCACCAATAGAGATTTTGGGGGCTGATACCAATAGACAATTTTTTAAGGAGGCATATCAGCCAATACCTATCCGATTTCCAATACTAGCTGTGCAGCTTG